GCCTTAGGCACTACGCTACCAGAGCTCCCGCTTGTTAAACAACAGAAAATATAACGTATTTTTTATATTAAAAATAAAACAACCAAAAGCTAAAGATGTAATAGAGAGTTTTAAAAATCACATAAGAATGTTAGGAAGATCTATATGTCAATAAATTGGAAAACCTAGCTAAGAACTTTTTAGAAAAAAAAATCTTGTGCAATTTGGTGAAATAAATACAGAAACTGAACAGGTTAAAATTATTTTAAAAATTGAAAGAGTTATCAAAATCAGTCTTTTTCACCTTCCATGGCCCCAAATGTCAAACCAACCAAACATTTTACAATAATTCCTAAACAAACAATAAACAAACTCATTGCCGTCAAGTAGATTCGATAGGACTAATAGAGACCCTTCCTTGTGTTTCCTAGGTGTTATCTCTACAGAAGAAGATTGCCCAATCTTCCTTCCAAGGAGTGGCTAGTGGGTTTCAACCATTAGCCTTCTGGTTAGCAGTCAAATGCCTTAGGCACTATGCCATCAGAGCTTCCAAAAATTCCTACAAGCTTTTAATGGAAAATGGTGTCTATTTAATCCAAGTTGCCTTACAAACTATAATGTTATGACATTTGAGATAACAAAAGCCATTATAATGTCATGAGCATTACACAAAAATAAAACTTTAGCCTAAATTATATTTTTAACCATACACGGAAAACGAAAAAAAAAATTGCTAATTGCATCTAGTGGGATAATACATAAAAATTGAATTAAGGAGCTCTGGTAGCACAGTGCCTAAGGCACGTGACTGCTAACCAGAAGGCTGGCGGTTCAAACCCACCAGCCACTCCTCGGAAGGAAGTTTGGGCGATCTACTTCTGTAGTGATACTGCCTCAGAAACCCAAGGAGGGGTCGCCATGAGTTGGGTCCGACTCGACGGCACATAAGAACAACAACAACATGGTTTGTTCCAAGAATCAAGGATAGTTCAGTATCAGAAGATACACCATTGTAATTTCACAACATTAATGGTTTAAATGAGAGAAACAATATTATCATCTCAAAAGCAGCAGCAATAAATGAGTCCAGAGCCTTTCTTATGAAATCTCTTTAAAATTTAGGAGTAGCAAGTAACTTCCTTAACTTACAAAGGTCATCTGAAAAAACACCAAGAGAAAACGTTCTTCATGATAAAGATAACATGGAAGCATTTCTTTCAAGGGACAAGGTCATTCATGAGCCATGACTGTTTTCAGCGTAACACTGGAGGCCTCAACCAGCACCATACACCAAAGGCACGGAATTAGAGAAAGACGACTGGGAAGGAAAACAGGCAAACCTGCCAATACTTCCACTGGTATCATCCCATCCATAGAATTTCCAAGAAAACTCACAGGCCGTGTATTAAACACATGAAAAGACGAGGGATTAACTAGCAACGTGAAACATCCATACTATACCCTTACTCCAGCAATAACAGAAAATATAACAGAGAGTAAGATGCCATGTATAACAGAACTGTGAAATGAAGCCCACCTTATTTGTCCATAGGCTTCTTTCATGCCTGACTGTGTCAACCATGGCATGAATGCACAGCCATGAGCCACACAAAGTGAAGGTCACAAGGCAAGGGATTTATTTGGAAATACCACCTCCCTTCTCATAATTTAAAACAGAAATCTAGCCATCACTGGATCCTTACTGTGGGTCAGACTTCTTATGAAAAAGAGAAGACTAAATAAATTAGAAGGCTGATGGTTGAAACCCACTAGCCACTCCTCGGAAGGAAGGTTGGGCAATTCTACTTCCATAGTGATGCTGCCTCGGGAACCCAAGGAGGGGTCGCTATGAGTCGGGGCTGACTCGACGGCAAATAACAACAATAACAAGGACTCTTTCTTACTGCATTTACTTGTTTAATGTGGGTAGATTCTAGCCATTTTCAGGTGACTTGATTTGGGAAAAAAATAACCAAACCCACTGCCATTGAGTCGCTTCTGATTCATGACAACTCCCATTGGGTTTCAGAGGAGGTCAATCTTTGTGGAATTAGATTGCTCAGGCTGCCCTCCATGGAGCAAGTGGTGGCTTTGGCAGTCAAATGCCGTAGGCATGGCACCACCAGAGCTCCTTGAGGAGGGGTGAAAAAAGCCACAGCAGGGGCCTGTTCACAGCAATGATCAAGATCTGGCCTGGTGCTTAAGGGTGCAGTTTAGAAAAAAACACTCATGTCTGTGCTTTATAGCCAGTCACATGGGCAAGGATCCCTCTCAAATTGATAAGATCTTGGCAAAGTTAGTAAAGAAACACAATCAACAGTGTGTCCTATAGCAAGGGGACAAAACTGGTTTGTACAGTGCTGGGAAGAAACAGATCCTACGCATTTTTTAAACACTGGGCTGAGAGTGTCTGTCCCTGAAGTGAATGGAAGGGAATGGAATGCTGAAACACTACCTTCCATGCCACATTACAACATAACGCAGACTCCACACAACTGTAACCCACTAGCCCATAGTCAGCAGGACCAGACATGCCAGGAAGTGGAAATATCTGATCCACAGTGAAGAA